TGTAGCACTGTCTTCTAACCTTTGTTGTAGATCTTTGTTGCAGTTATAACCTTAGCATGTACTGAAGTTCAGGTTCAGATCTACAAAGTTTGGATTTATCCAGCTGTGCCTTGCTTGGGTCTGGCTGCTGTGCTCATCTCCTTCGTGCTGCTGTCCTTGGGGGTGAACCTGTTGTGCCCCTCTGGAAAGATTTTCTGCTCCTGGACTAGCTGGGTGGTTCTATCCTCTACACTTTCTGCAGGGATTGAAGCTACAGGGTTTTACCCCAGGCCTGTATGCCAGGCTTGAGCTGAGCGTGGAGGAGACAAGGTGGAGTAGAGGGAAGAGGCAGCTGTCCTACACACTAACCAGGCCTGGGCTAGGACTGGGTCTGGGGGTTCCTGGAACGCGGCAGAAATTCCTACTTGGCGGGCGGGGTAGGGGAGGTGCTGCGGAGTGGTGAGGTGTCCCAAGGGGGTGGAAGAGGGTCTCACCCACATTGCACCTGGGCTGGAACCAGTAATAGGTCCTGCAGGCGCAGGGTAGCCGGAAGCTCTCCCACACACTCACTGGGCCTGGGCTAGGACTGGGTCCTCTTTGTTAGTGCATCCCAATAATTTGGACTGATTGGGGTGCAAAAAAGTTATCATAACTTTTGGTTTTTATGTTTCATAGCAGAAAGCAAAATTGTAGATTAGTTTTCCTTTGCAGGAAGTGATGCAGTTATTGGTAAAGTTAGGAAGTTTGATTCCGGGCCCCTGTGCCCACTTGCTTTGTGTCCTTGAGCAAAGCATTCAGACCTTCTGTACATTGGTTCCATTCCCCCCTCCCCCTTTTTTTTTTTCTTTTTCTTCTGTATTTAGGACAGGGTTTACAGGGTCTCACTATGCGTAGATCAGACTGATAGTAGTGATTCTACTGTTTACATCCTCACAGGTGCTGGGATTACAGGCATGCGCCACCATGCCCCATCTCATTTGCTGTCTCAGTGTGCCCCACGAATGGGGCCAGCACAGCACACCAGGGATTGAACCCCAGCCACTATTTCCAGCCTAAGGCGCTTTAGTCCTCTGATCTATCAGGTTGGCCCTGTACATTGGTTTCTTAACTAATTAATAATGATTTAAACAAAACAAAACAAAAAAACCCTGCAAGTAGAGTTAAGTGTCAAGCACCCAGAACAGTGCCTGGCTTAGAGTCAGCCCACATAAAGTATGAAACAGTAGTATCATTTCCTGTGGGTACCTAGGTGGCATTGATAAGTTATCCAGGCTGAAGAACATGAAGATAGTCCCTGTTGTCAGATGTTGGGGTTTGGGGTTCTTGCATGCTTTCTAGAAGATACTCGATTAATGTGATTTCTGGAAGGAAATTAGGTACTGTACAACTACTTTTAACTCAGAAATCTCATTGCTAGAAATTTTCCCCAAGGAGAAGCCACAAACATTTGCCAGGATACCTGTAAAAAAATGTTTTCTTTAAGCCAGGTATGGTGGTATGTGCCTGTAATCCCAGCACTTGAGAGGCTGAGGCAGGAGAATCATTGTGACTTCAAGGCCAGGCTAAATTACAGACCCAGTTTCCTAAAAATTAAAATAAAATGAAGGAATGAATTTATGCATGTATGGATGCTTTCTTCAGCCTGATGTCCTGGTGAAGAGTGGATAAGTTAACTATGGCCCCTCTATTCTACAGAGTCCTGTGTGGCCATTAGAATGGTGGGGTAGATCAGCATTTGCAGGGCTGCAGAAATGTTCAGGTGACAAAGATATAGTGTCCATGATAGGATCCCTTTGGTGTCCACTGACAGCCATGGGCACCTGCATAGATAGACTGTCAGGTGTATTTATTTTTTTTTCCCTGTTAGAAGTACCTGCAAATAAGAGCCATTAAATAGTTTTAAGTTTTTAGTTGATTTGGTGGGTCCACTCAGAATGGACAACCTGTGCACAGCTTCCTTGGAAATTTAGTTAAAGCTGAAGTGAATATGTGATTTCAGTTAGTGTGAGCATTTTGTGACTTCCCACATTTTCACATGAGTAGGAGACTTCCCCTGATGGTTCAAGTGGGGAAAGCAGGCTTGGTGTTGGGTCCCATGTATTGTGTGGTGGCTCAGGTAGTCTGGGCTTTCATAGAGCCATTTGTTAAGAGAGAATATTACTGTAGTCAGCCTCCTAAAATAGCGGTCTTCTTTGATTTAATCAATCAATCAAGTAGATTTCCTTTGCTGCTAAATGGTGTGCCATTCCCTAGTTTGAGATCAGCGGAAGAAATTTAGTGTGGATTCAAGAATCAATACTAAATTGATTTTTGAAAATGCAGGCTTCTAGAATAAAGGTTTGCACTACTGTGTGTAATGAACAGAGAAAGAATTCCATGTTTCATTGATTCAAAGATATACCTTACCCTCCTAGTATTAACAATTCTGAGACAGGCTGAGTCTTAGAATCAGTGATATGAGAAAACAGATTCAGTTTTATTTGAATTTGTTTGTGGTACAAGATATATCTTATAAATCAGTATTGTGTCAGGTTTAGTAAAAGCAGCTTTTTCAACCTAAGGCACTAGTGATGGCAGCCTTAGTGCCCACTTCTTTAGATTAATATGTAGAGGGTTTGATTTTGTTTGGGGAGGAATGTTACTGGGACTGAACACAGGGCCTTTAGTCTGAGCTATATCCCTAAACACCCCCCTTTCTTTTAAACACAGGGTCTTACTAAGTTCCCCAAGGAGGACTATAATTTGGAATCCTTCTGCCTCAGCCTCAGAAGAGTGCTGAAATCATAGGCAGGTGCCATCATATCTGATTGAGAGTTTGTGATGAGTCATTTACTCATATAATTGCTTCAAATACCCCCAAGAGCTCTAAGTTTAGTAAATTTCCTCTTTTAAGCTAAAATAGCACATGTATTAGTATTAATCATTGTTTCCTGTCTATAATAGGAATTCTTACTACTTCCCTTGCTTTCTGTGGAACAGTTTTTGTTGTTTTTAATCACATCTCTTCCATCTTTTTCATCATACTTGTAGACTCGGAGACCTTTCTAGAGTTTCTGCCTGAAGCCTTTTAAAAGAGTAGGGTTCTCTTGAGAAGCTGCTGCCTAAGGTCTGGCACAACAGTGGCTGAAGTTACACCATGGCTAATTTCTTGCTTTAGGCATCTTCAGAAGTCACATGGTGATCTGTTTTCCAGACACAGCCATGTGCAACTTGACTGAAGATGTTAAAGACTGTGGAGAAGGAACAGAGGCTTCCAAAACTGGTCCTGGATAATGACACATTCAAAGCATCAGATAGCCAGAGCTGGCATAAACAAATACTGCCCGGACATGTGTCTTAAACATTGCATTTGCCATCATTATTTTGGCTCTTCCAGTAGAACTAGTGCCAGAACTTGGTTTTCGACAGTTAAGCAGACACTGCTTCTAAGTGTTCTTAGATGCCTGGAAGAAAGCTCTCTTTTGAGCAGCACGACCAAGTGAGCCTTTGGATTTTGCCTCACCTTATCACCGAGCCCTGTCACCTGGACTATTTTCTGGTGATCTGTGCAGCTGTCAGCGAGAGTATCCCTTACCCCTCCTGAATCTGCCCACCTAGATCTGCCTCAGCTGTCTTACTGGCTTCACAAGATCCATAATCCATCTATCCACCTTTTCCTTGGACATTGGGATTGCTTCTACTTATTACAGATGAAGCTGACAGCAAACTCTTTGCTCTGAGGAGAAAAAAATCGGCTATCTCCTACATATCCAGCTATGTGACTAGCAAGTACCACTTAGTTTAATGGGATCCGCTGGTTTACCCCTCCAGGAACTTTGCAGATGTCACAGCAGGCCCATCTACATACCCTGAGAAGTCCTAAATACCTCACCTGGGTTTGCCCTGAGCACCTCTCGGGTGTGGGTGTCTGATTGTCATGAGCACATCCTGGAGGGAGGAGGAGACGGATGGGTTAAAGTCTTTGTGTTTGTACTCTGAAACATAAGGAAGTGTAATTATGTAAAAGGAAGAATAATTAAGGTTTCTGCGATGAGAATTTTCTGCCTGGTTTATAGAAAAATGGTTCAAATATGAGTCTCGTTTGCTCTCATTCTACTTAGAGTGGTCACAGATTGAGTTTCTGTGGAACAAGCAGTGAGATGATGCATGACATGTCTGGCACCAAACACTAAGTAAATGATAGATGCCAAGTTACAGGGTCAGCCTCATGGAAGGCCTCCTCTCTCACTCAACCTTTTGCTTATTCCTCAGAGAATCACATTCTGGAAGATGTGAACAAATGTGTTATTGCTCTCCAAGAGAAAGATGTGGATGGGCTAGATCGCACAGCTGGTGTAGTTCGAGGCTGGGCAGCCTGAGTCATTCACGTAGTGACCTCAGAGATGGATTACTATGAGCCAGGGGTCTACACAGAGAAAGTTCTGGAGGCTACCAAGCTGCTTTCCAACACAGGTGTGTGGACTGTCTCCTTAGTGCTCACTTACCCCACTCCCCACACCATTGTCAGGTAGAGCAGGCCATCCCATTAGCCCTGCCCCTGAGTTGGGATAAGAAAACTCGGCTCTCATCAGAGGAGATGGTAGGTCATACATGTATAAAGTTGGCTAGCCAAAGTCTTGCCTCTCGGGCTGGAGAGATGGCTCAGTGGTCTAAAGCACCTACTTGAAACAAGCTTGGCAAAGCACAGGGACCACGGTTCGATCCCCAGCACCATATGCCAGCCCGCCCCGCCCCCTGGTGGGCTGAGCTGGCCACACACACACACAATAAATAAATGTAATAAAAATAAATAAATAATTTTAAAAAAAAATAAAATAAAAAAACAAAGTCTTGCCTCTCAAACACATTATTCCATCATGTGCATCTCGGGGGTAATCATGGTACTAATTCTGAACACAATATTTAAGAACTGAGTTAAGTCTCTCCTTGGTGAATAAGTGCTATTAAGGTAGGTTCCACTCTTAAGCAAAGGCCAGAGGTAGTTTCACTTCAGTTTCTCAAGCATTTTTGCACCCTGGTGAGAGACAAATAAGATGATTTGAGATTTTGTAAAATACTTCCCATAAATTTGGTTGGCATGGTAGCAGCAGCAGCCTTCCATCCCAAGCCTTGCTCCACTGCTAGGTGAGGATTCAGGGAAGCTGGTGGAATACTATCTGCTCACCGGTGCACCCTGCCTGCTGCTTGTTTCTAGTCATGCCCCGTTTCACTGAACAAGTGGAAGCAGCTGTGGAAGCCCTCAGCTCAGATCCTGCACAGCCCATGGATGAGAATGAGTTTATTGATGCCTCCCGCCTTGTGTATGATGGCATCCGGGACATCAGAAAAGCAGTGTTGATGATAAGGGTGAGTAACTGCATTCCAGACATTTAGCAGCTTCTTATCATTTGCTGAACCTTGAGCAATGCATCATTCTGGAACTCGGCAGATGCAGTGGCAGCATATTAAAACCATGAATCTAAAATCTGTTAGGAGGAGATATATTTAATTATGTTGTCTAAACTGTTATTTGCAAGTTAGAGCCCAAAGTTGGGCCAAGAAAGGGAACTAGCACTAGAGTTGGTCTTGATGCCTTAATTTAGGGCAGACAGTCATCTTAGTGTCAGGTTTCAGTTTTAATTACAGGAGAAACTACAGAAAGTATAGATTCTTAAGTTAGTTTCAGAGTATTCCTGGTGCTGGGTGAAATCATCCTTTACTTGGAGCACTTTTTCTCTCCTTAATGAGAGATGCTAGACTGAGTCAGACAATAGAATCCTGAGGGTCGGGGGCCATGGCAGTTTCAGTGGTGCTCTCTGGCTCATGGCAAAATATTGAGCTCCTCCCCAAGAGCTGAGTATAAGTGACCTCCTGTAGAACTTACATGACCCTTTGAGAAAGCAGCAGTTGTCACTGCTTGCAGACCTTATCCCCTTTGGGATTGGCACAAAGAGGCCTCAGAAACATGCAGCCCCTCCATCATACATCTGCAGCATGCAGGGCCTGAGTCTCCCAGCTGCTTTTCTAGAGCAGTTGATCCTTCGCATTCTGCTCTGAGCAAAGCATGTTGTCTGGAGTCTGAAGGTAGTGCTTGTGCCTACTTTTCCCCAGGGTCACCTCAATGCCTCAGGTCTGTGGCCAGGCTGTACGAGCAGGCCTGTGGAGCACAGGGTCTCCCCACTACACTGATTGTGCTGTGTTGTTATGCAGACCATGCAAGAGAGCTTCCTTTACACCTTCATGGTTTCCTAGGCGAGCTCCCAAAGGAGGAGCAACACTTTTTTACGCCTGCAGCCTGGCCCGCAGACCTTGCCAGGAAGTCAGATGGAAACAGACCATTTCTAAGGGAGCTCCCTCAGGCTCATTCATTTTTGCATGCAGTATAAGAACAGTCAGGCAAGACCTGCTTTTCTCACTGGAGGGATGGGGGAAAGAACTGGTCAAGGCTTGTGTACAGCCAACTCACAGGCACCCCTGGACATGTGAGGGTTGGGAATAGTAGAGGCCTTTGCTTTTGTATCTTACCTGCTGGTCTAGGAAGAATCCATGTTCAGGGATGGGCTGGGCTGCATAAATACAAAGAAAGCAGTGATTGTAACTTGGTGGTATGGAAAAGGCCCTGGGTCACATATAACAGTGGTGATGCACGCAGCTATTTCTGCAAAGTTCTTTCCACGCTGGCAAACACATAACAAATAGAAGCAGCCCTAATGATGCAGAGATGTCATTGCATGTGTGAGGTTAGGGCAATGTCTCAGTTCTCTCTCTCTCTCTCTCTCTCTCTCTCTCTCTCTCTCTCTCTCCCCTCTCTCTCCTCTCTCTCCTCTCTCTCTCTCCCCCCTCCCCTCCCCTCCCCTCCCCTCCCCTCGCTGGCAAAACCAGGGATTGAACTCAGGCCCTTGTGCTTGCCAGGGAAGCACTTACTGTATTGAGCCATCTCCCCAGCCCCGACTTTTCTCTTGTTGCTGAGGCAAAAATACCTGATGCCCAGAAGGAAGGAAAGGTTTATTTAGCTCACAGTTAATGGAGGTTTCAGTCCATATTCAGCTGGCTCCAAGGCAGAGTGGCACATGGCAGAGGGCAGCAGTTCATGTCATTGGAAAACAGCAAGAGCAAATGGGAGTAGCAGCAGCAGCAGTGACCACTGGGAGTAAATCTTTCTCCCCCTTATTTGCCTTCAGGCTATCTGCCCCACGTTGGGTATAGCACACCCATAGTCCCATCCTTGGATCAGGAATTAATCACAAACTCTAGAACCGTGCCCCAATGACTGTATGAGGCTTTGGGGTTGACAGCTACACACTAACCATAATAGGCAGTGAGGGTCCAAATGGCTGCTGATGCATTCATCTAGAAGATGTTTCAGGCCACAGAGGCCTAGCCTGGGGAAAGCAGCTTGGCTGTGTCTTCTAAAGGGATGGAATTTTTTTCCCACTGTATGAGATAGATTGTGATTTTGGTGGTTTTACTGAGATGGAGTGTAGGCAATGCCTCTGGCACAGGACCTAACACATATACCATGTTTTGTGTATGCTCGAAGTGAAGAATAACAAAGGTCTTAGAAGAATCTCCTAGATGACCAGACCCATATAAAGAGTGGACAGAAGCATAGGGGGAAGGCCTTTGAGAGCAGAGGTGAGGCCAGCCTGGAGTGCCTACTCAGGAGAGAAGAAGGGCTTTGGAGACACCTGTGTTTTATCTCCTTGCTTGTCGAACTATTGACCTATTCCTGTCTTAATTCAGGAATCATCCTTCCAGTACTTGGGCCTCTCAGGTTCTCAACATGTAATGCTCCCCTACCTCAGTCTCACTCCATAGCCCCATGTCTCCATTGTCTGTCTGCAGCCTGTCCTTTCACCTAGTGCATGGCTGCTCCTTATGGCACTGGCATTCCAGCCATCTTTCAAGTTCAACAGTGCCTTCAGCAGTTGCTCCTCTCTGCATGTCATACTAACGTGGCTCCTCAGGTCCTTTGTTCACTCCCTTCTACCCTGGAGTCTGGCTCATACCCTTTAGCCCCTTCCTTGTCCTTGCCTTGCAAAATACAGCTCTAGTGAAGCCTATTGTGCTGCTGAGGCTATGACTGTGTGTGCATCCTTGGGGCCCCCATAACAGTCTCCCCACACTGGTCTTGACATCTGGGACCATTTTCTCTCTTCTACTTCTCCACTCTCCCCCTCTCTGTCCGGCTTTCTTAGCAGTTCCACCAAAGGCACCAAGGCAGTTAACATGTCCATTCCCTGCTGCCTATGCCCATGCCCTCCTAGTGCCATAAAGATCCCTGTCAGTGCTCCTGGCTGAAGCCATTTCCTGTGCTAGACACAATATCACCTATTCACCCTCTGCACCTTTACTTATGGATACAGTTATTAACCCCCTCTAAGAAATGAGAAAAAAAATCTCCCTTCCCGCCCCATCTCCTTTGCTGATTTGTCTCCATTAGTAGGGACTGTTGGAAAGTCCTTGGTCCCTTCTCTGTCATGCCTGTGTGCCTTCCCTGGGTATATCTGAATGAGAATTCTTCTTGAGGTGACCCTTCTAAGTTCCACTTGCATAGTGGACTGTCCATGAGCCAGCTCCTGGCCACTCTCTTAGTCTTTGTGCATTGGTTGATAAAAACTCCTTCGCTTGCTCTGGCCCAAACCTTGAATTTCCCTAGATTTATCTTTCTTATCCTTCAGATCTGATCTGCAGCAGGTCTTACTGGAGGTCCTTGCGATAGAGGACCTCAGCAAGGCCACCCTGCCCCCAGCCCTAGTCTCTCTCCTGGGCACCTTGCTTCCTCCTTCAGTGTATAGTTTAATCTGCACAAAAGAAACAATGCAGCCCCTTTCAGCCCCAGCCAGATCATGGTGTCTCTGAGGTGCCCCTGCCTCTTTGGCCTCACACTGGCCTGTGAGACCCTCTAGCACCATACCCCTCACTTCCCTATATCAATCATTGCTTGCTCTCCCAGAGGAGAGCACCAGGTAGTGGGCTCCCTGGTCCTCATCCACCAGCTGCCTTTTGAGGCCTTCCCTGACCACCCAGCTCTTATATAGTATGGCTCACTTTCCAACACCCACAGTGAGGATCACTCGCCCATGTATTTTGTATGTTGCCATTGCTTCCATCAGAGGGTGTGTGAGAGCAGGAAGCGAGAGTCATCAGCCATGTGCTGTCTTCTGGGCCCAGGACAGTGCTAAGCAATGTACTCAGCAATAGATCTTTGGATGGATGAACACAGCCAGAGTTCTTTGGCCTGTAGTGGGCTGGTGGGAGGTGGGGAAGCAGAGATGCTGTTTGAGCCACTCCTTTGTGAAGCTCCTTAAAGAAGCACACACTGATACACATCTGTACCACCAGTGTGGTAGCATTGTTAATGTCATTAATAAGTCAGCAGGACCCAGCATGTGGTACTCTGGTGCCTTGAGTGCCCACCCACTCATACCACCTGCCATCCTACCCTCTGTTTTCACTTCATATCAGGAGCCAAGATGCCAAGTAACTCTGCAGCACTTACCCCTTGTCCATCCATCTGAACCTCACTGAGAGCCCCTGGGCCAGGTTTGGATGGGGGCATGGTGCAGATGAGGGCCTTGCCTCACTGCTCTCCTGCCCAGGCTGGGCCAGCTGGGCTGAGAGCCAGCCCAAGCTGTTCCGTCTGCTGCCCCCTAACTGATAACTGCCAGAAGACGACATTGTGTTTCAAGTCAGTAGCTAATCAAGAGAGGATGGGAGTTTGTGCAAAGTAAGAATTTCATTTCATAATTAGAACAAAGATCTAGAGTCAGCAATCTTCTTTTAATTTTTTATTTATTATTATTATTTTTTATTTTAATTTACTGAGCCTTTAACTGCTGACCTGGTGTATCTCCTTTTTTCCTTTGATGGAAATGTTAAAAAAAAAAGCTAGACACAAGAGTACACATTGGTAATCCCAGAACTCTGGGAGGCGGAGGCGAGAGGACTAAATTCACCTTAGCTACTTAATAAGACCCTATCTCAAAATAAAAGGGACTGGGGAGATAGCTTAGGTATAAGCACCTGTCTGGCAAGCACAAGGTTCTGAGTTCGATCCCCAGTACCTCAAAGATGGGGTGTGCTAGGAATATAGCTCTGTGCAAAGGCCCCGGGTTCATGCCCTAGTATTATACTTTACCACCAGATTTTTAGAATACATTACTTCTTTTTACTCCTCAAAGCAGTTCTTATGAGAAAGCCCAGTACTATATAATTGTCTCTTTTCCCCCTAAGAGTAGGAAAGTTTAAAAAGTGAAAATGAGCCAGGCTTGGTGGCATGTACCTCTTAACTCAGGAGGCTGAGGAATGAGGATCATATAAGACTAAGCTGGGCAACACTGAGACCTAGTGTCAAAAAGTAAGTAAGAAAAGTGCTGGGGTGGAGGTTCATGCATCAGTGATGAGTGATTTTACCCACAAGTGTTTAAAACCCTGCATGATAAATCTTAGAATTTGGGGCCTCCATGCTTTTGGCCAAGAGGCTTGGCATGGCCAAAGAATGGCTCAGGGCTGTGTCTGACTCATGCCTCTATATTGGTGACAGACCCCTGAGGAACTGGATGACTCGGACTTTGAGACAGAAGACTTTGATGTCAGAAGTAGGACAAGCGTTCAGACGGAAGATGATCAGCTCATAGCTGGCCAAAGTGCCCGGGTAAGAAGCACCCTTTCAGTTATTCTGTAGCCTCTCTCTGGCCTGGACTTTTTCTCTTCTAGAGAGACTGCATTCAGAGTACTGGTTTCTTCTCTCTTCCTCTGGCAGCAGGACTGAAGGTAACCTGCACTGTGGCATCTGCTGGTTAGTTGTGGGTTTCTCCCAAACTGTCATCAGCCCAAGCAAGGCAGGAATGCGGGCCAGCTCAGCTGTACCCCAAGGCTCTGGTTTTTTGATAAAGCCCTGGGTCAGGAGAAGCCTAGGATCTAGTCAATGTAGCATTTGTTAAAAAGGATTGTGAAATCTGAAAAAGATTGCTGCCTTTGCCCATTTTACTGATACCATGGGTTGAGCTATTTAATTATTCATGAATTTAAAAAAATAACAGTGGTACATTCAAGAAAACCAGTCAGAGCCATTGCATTCATCTGAGTCATTAAATCTTCAATCAATAGCATTTATGTTTTTGGAAGAACGCCAAGATATATTTCTAAGGAGTCTATTTTTTCACTCCTTGGAAATCCATCGAGAACAGCGCGCAGTCCCTCCTTTCCCCTGCTCGGGCTGAGTTCTTGGGAGGCTGAGCAGAGCCAGCCTGTGCCAGTGGACTGAAGTCCAGCAGCAGGCACTCAGCACTGACGGGTATTGCGGCCTCTGCTCCTTAACATAAGTCTTCTCTGCCTGCTGCCCTCACAATTTACATGGCATAGCTACCTCCAACTCCTTGAAAAGTTGGACGTCTCCACTAAGCTCACAGGAGAAAGGGCTGCACAAATTCATTACCTCCTCTCCTTTTCTGTTTCGACTGCAGGAAGCAGAGGATGAAACTTAAAACATTAATTCATCCAGGGCCCATCTCTGGCCAGGTGTGATTGTGAGGCTTTCCATTAGCCTTCTATCCTTCATAGGCTCTTTCCCCTCCACAGTAAGACTTGGTCTTCAAAGTGGGTCGGGAATTTAGGCTTTTAAATTTCTAAGAGAAATAAGAAATAGCCCTTCAGGCAAAATGAAACCTATTAAAGCATTATCCTACCAATGTCATAGATTGCCTGTTGGAAATATCCTTGCTAATGCACTGTGAGAACTTCATATTCTCCTTATATAAGAGCTTTCTGTGCTTCCAATATAGGCAATCATGGCTCAGCTTCCCCAGGAGCAAAAAGCAAAGATTGCAGAACAGGTGGCCAGCTTCCAGGAAGAAAAGAGCAAGCTGGATGCCGAAGTGTCCAAATGGGATGACAGTGGCAATGACATCATTGTGCTGGCCAAGCAGATGTGCATGATTATGATGGAAATGACGGACTTCACCCGGTGAGTAGCGTCTTGTACAGAGGGATGTTTTCTCCCCACGTTGGGCTGCTTTGTAGATATCTTTTGTTGTGAGCTCTGTAACTGGCAAAGGGGTTACCAATGGGGATCTTTACTGTCTTTTTTAGGGGTAAAGGGCCACTCAAAAACACATCAGATGTGATCAGTGCTGCCAAGAAAATTGCGGAGGCAGGATCAAGGATGGATAAGCTTGGCCGAACCATTGCAGACCATGTAAGTCAGAGGCTTAGCCTGGACCATTGTTTGAGGAGGTGGTGATGATCATTTTTGAGGGACATAACACTCTCACTCATTTCATCCTGGAAAATTTTCTAAATGCCTGTGTCTTTTTGGGCAAGTTTTAAGAGCTAGGCCTAGTTTGCATCAGATCATACCAAACAAGAGCTAGCACAAACTCTCCTGTTCTTACCTCACTTCTGACTTCAGAACTAGCATTAGCAGGACTGCCTCTGCAAGCCATCACGCTGCACTCAGAAGGGTCAGAGCTCATATGAGTCAGGAGTTCCTTTGGCGGCAAGTGTTTTGGAAAGCTAATGTGCCTGCCCCCTAGAGACCGGCTTCTGTGTCCTCAGCTTCCAAGCTTTGCCCATTTTTTCCTCCATGTGACTGGTTCCTGCTTCTGGAACCTTCACAGTGCATTTCCTGTGATGCTCTTAGCACTTATGGCTGCAAATCCTCCCCACTCTTTCCTTGAAAATCATCCAAAATCAGCCTCATTTAGGCCTCAGGTGAATGACATTTGTCTCTCTTGACTCAAGGCAAAAATTGTGAAGTCATCCTTCAACTCCCCCAGCCCATACATAGCCCGATAACAGATGAGATTGCTTCTCGGGAAACTTTGCAGTCTTTCCTCAACCACTTAATCCACATACCCAAGCCACCTGGCTACACGTCTGTGGCCTATCCTGTTCCTTGTCTTGGTTACTTTTCTTGTTGCTGAGACAAAATACTTAGTGCCCCAAATTTAAGAGGGAAAGGCTTATTTCACAGTTTGTGGAGGTTTCAGTCCCTACTCAGCTGGCTCCATGGTAGAGGGCAGCACGTCATGGCGGTGGAAAACAGCAAAAGCAGGAACAAAAGGGAGGAATGACAGAGAAGACTTGTGTCCCAGACATTATGTGCAGGCTGCTGGCTGCAGGCTGGGTGCAGGGCTCACACCATTAATCCCAGGGTTGGAGTATGAACTCGAGAATCCTGCCCCCATGACTGCATGTGGCTTTGGGGACATCTAGACACAAACCGTAACACTTCTTCCATCCACTCCATTCTGCATACAACTACGAACACTGTCATCGTCACTTTGGATCATTCCTTTACTCCGTAGACCCCGGGCTCGCTGTGGAAGAGCAGTGCTGGAAACACTCATGTCCTTCTAAGCCTTCCCCTGCGATTGGGCCCAAGTTCACCACTTCCCCGTGTGCTGCTTTTCCTTACTTCAGTTTGTTTATATATCCTCCACTTCTCCCTGATGGGACTGTCTCCTCTCACCAGGTGCTTGTTGTGGGCATCATAACTGGGCAGAGAAGGTTCCTGAGGCAGCAGAGCCATTGGTGTGGATGGTCATTGTTAGTTCAGAACATTCCAATTTCTGCATATCTGGTCCCCATTTGTGGCTGCTCTTTCTTACCTTTGCTTGGTTCGACTACTTTCTCCACGTTAACAGAGTCAGAAGAGGGAGCTGGAAGCATTCACTGAAACCCCAAGCAAAGTGGAGGGGGTGGGGTGCCGCTCCCCAGGTAATGGAACAATCATCTCTTGCCCTTTGCCTTAGCAAGAAGAAAGGAAGCAAGTTATTGCCACCTCAGTCTCAGCAATAGCGTGGGTTTTGCAGTGTAGTCCAGGCCCAGCCTGGGGGGCATGGTGCTCAGTTTGTTCTCCCAACAGTGCCCGGACTCGGCCTGCAAGCAGGACCTACTGGCATATCTGCAGCGCATAGCCCTCTACTGCCACCAGCTCAATATCTGCAGCAAGGTCAAGGC